CGCGTAGAACCTCAGTAAGGACCGAACGTCACTTTGAATAGAAGCTATCAGAATCGTCTATGAAAAACATTGTCGCTCTTTCTGGGGCTTAAGCGTGAAAGTATTTGAGAAGTGAATGTCAAAAAGCATTGTCTTTTTCCAGGTTCATTTTAAACAAACCCGATAAAATTGATAGTATTAACGCATTCCAAGCACGCATCTATGCTGACTTTTAGCTCCTCGATTCCTTGTCCTTCTATACAAGCCTACTACCAATCAAGCATCTTTGGAGGTACGGGTAGCTCAATTTTTTTGATGGATATCAATCCGAGGCTTGGTTTATAGGCACTTTAGATGGTAGTATGCCACCCAACTTTATCCCCTTATATCCATAGATTACTGACAGTTGATCGTCTAATAAATAATTGTGTTATATTGCCACATTGGTTAAATATAATCGGTTGAATAATATGTATTTGCTAATTTCTCAGTTTCAATTCTACGAGGATCCGTTTGTCTACAGTATTGTCGAACTCATGCTTGCGTCACCTTCCTGCACACAATTCTTAAGGATGTGAAGAATGTAGAGAATGATTACAAAGGTTTCATTCAGAATCTGCTGAACGAGTTTGACAGCAGTGATGGAGTGGCTAATCCGAGCTGGTGGAAATCCCGAAAACGTGCCCAACTACAGCTGCGCGTAAGTGAATGTATGCCTATTTCACTCTATTACTTTATTAAAAAAGGGTCACAATTTCGAGTGGTTGAGTTCAAGTCACTATAGATGTAACTGCAGCACTCAGTTTTGCATTTACTAAGCATCTTCTCAGGTTTTCTCTACTTTCTTTCATTTCCATTCTCGTTTCTCTATTAACATTGAAGCTTATCCTTTCCATTTCCACTTTGTTTCCTCGTGACACTTGACTTCTCCGATCCATATGCTTTCTATTCGGTATGAACATGAACTATCTTAAACTACGCCCTTCACCATTTCTTCTGCTTTCGTTCTACGGTGGATTTTCTTCCCTCACTCATCATTTTTAGCTTACTTCATTCAGCATTTCATTTTCAGCTTACCTCAGCTCCTCATTATAAATCGGTTAGTTATGAACAAAGCAATCAGCCTCAGGANGTTTTCTCTACTTTCTTTCATTTCCATTCTCGTTTCTCTATTAACATTGAAGCTTATCCTTTCCATTTCCACTTTGTTTCCTCACTCTTGACTTCTCCGATCCATATGCTTTCTATTCTGTCTGAACGTGAACTATCTTAAACTACGCGCTTCACCATTTCTTCTGCTTTCGTTCTACTATGGAACTTCTTTCCTCACTTATCATTTTTAGCTTACCTGGATCTTCTCATTATAAATCGGTGAGTTGTGAACAAAGCAATCAGCCTCAGGAGAGACTCGAATCCGCCGTTGTACTTTCACGACACCATGACTTCAATCCTAAACACTACCCAAGGCGTGGGTCCTCGCGCTCTACTACGGATCTCGAGCCACTGATTCCCTTTGCTAAGGGATCTCTCTCACTGAATAACCTTGAATACCTGGTCAGCTGTGTTGGGGCGATTCATAGCTTTTCTGTCCTCGCAAGTGCTCTCATGCTTACGGGTATGGAGATTCATGTGGTGCGGCCATATCCAACTCAACGGCTTAGCCGCAAGCTTGTCGTCGCATGGTTGGATACGAACAGAAAGGCTATTCGAGGTTCCTTTTATAAATGAGCCACTTGCCCCTTCTAAATGACCTGACTAGCTTCTCGGAGTCTACACAACCCCCATGTCAGAACCTGATGAGCTAGACCTGGGTGAACACATATGCCAGAAACAGTAATATAAATGGGTCTCATTCCTTAACTTGCGAAACCCCTAATACGCCTGCTTGGGAGACGCAGATCAGATCCCAGAGTCATAACAGGCTGTACAAAAGGGGAACTAAGATGGCAATCTCGACCTTCCGGTGCACGGACGCTTGCATCAGAAGTGTGCATCGAAGATCTGATGACGCAAGCTAATATGATCAACTACTAAGAGATCATCGGACTGGCGGAGACGAGAAGGCACCTTCGCCAGTCCGATGGTCACGAGGCTGCACGCAATACTCAAAAACGGACAAGAACTTTTCTTTAGGCAGGCATGAGCAGAGGCATCAGCGTCGTAGATGTTTGTTAGAGCAGGGGTGAGCTACGCGTAGGTGCCCTCGCGTAGCTCACCCCTGCTCTAACAAACATCTTTGCGCACACACCATCATCAAGCTAAGAGGAAGAAGAGCTAGAAGCGTATTGTGAAGGCTCGCGAACGCTCTCAAGATAGGAGCAAATTGGCTTTGAGGTCATTTTCGGCGATTCAAGACCAAGGCTATGATTAGCCCTAGAAGAACAGCTGAAACATCGGTACTCTTTGAACGACATTATATAACCAGGGTGGAAGGCTCTCCGAATGCAGAGGAAGGATAGAAGAGGATCAGCAGTACTGACAGTTCAGCAATCCAGCGGAGCAGATCAGCAATTTACTAGGAACTTTAACACATTTACTTCAAAAGTCAATCCCGGTTTTTCGTAGTGATTTATGCTCATGGATCAGGTGCCCGAGTATTTCATGAAGAACATATAACTTATTGACGTTTTTGTTGAAAAAAGGTACTACATCCCTCAAAATTGCTCAGTTGTTTGATACCTACCTAATACTATTTAAAGTTTGTACTGTTTTGTAAAGAATGAATGTTTTACAGAGGTACCACACCGCGACATGGCAACGTAGACTATTTCATCGGTGTTTCTTTCATCATCTACGGAGTTCTTGCTGAGGTCCAATCTGTTTTATAATAATCGTTATCATAAAACACAAATCATTTGTAAGATTTTTGAGTTGTACCATCCATTATTAATCCAACGGCTTGATTTTTGACGTAATCGTCATCTTCAGAGGCCAGTTTTAACCGTCAATGCAAACGGAATCCGCAGCCACAACAGTAGACATCAGGCCATTGAATTTAGAAAATAGTCCCATTCAAGCTGAGGAATATTACCAACGCGAACCTCAACGTTCGCGTGACCTCCAAAACCCTATAGAAGTTGGAGACGGAACTTGAAATAATTCCGCCACAGAGAGATGAGACATGTTTTTATGAAAAGAAGGTGCTTGGGCATTCCATCTTATTCACATTGGCATACGGAACAGTCACCCTCAACTGCGAGCTTCCGCCTTACAAAGTCCAATTACCATTATCGGCTTGGAACCGCCACGTAACCTGATCTGATTCATAGCCCATGCAGTCCAAGGTTAAAAGCCAAAAGCCTGATCGAAGGTGTTTGCCAGAATGGCAGTCATTCTCGGTGGAAGTCACTAGAGATTCAGTCCCCTATGCAGCGCATTCAACATTGATGGCCAGTGATCGATACAATGGTAATTTTAACAACACTCATAAATTNACTTGAAATATTTCCGGGCACCTGGGCATACGAAACCGTCACCCCAACTGCGAGCTTCCGCCTTACAAACTCCAATTACCGCTAGCGACTCGGAACCACCACTTAACCTGATCTCGTTCAAAGCCCATGCAGTCCAAGGTTACAAGCGAAAAGCTTGATCGAAGGTGTTTGCCGTAATGGGAGTCACCCTAGGCAGAAGTTGTTGGAAATTCAGTCCTCTATTCAGCGCATTCAACAACACCAACATTGATGGCCAGTGATCGATAAAATGGTCATTTTGATATCGTTCATAGATTGCACAGCTTGAATTTATCACTAGTCAATTGTTTTGCCCCTTGTGAAAACCGACAAAAAAAGGAATTCATGGATTTCAGTTGATGTACATTTTGGTACTGCACGTTATTGCGCGAAAACAGTATCGTCGATTGTCCTGTTACAAAATCATGCTTGTCCTAGGTATGTTTATTATTCTCAACATAATTTTACAGCATGGTGTAAAACTGAGTTTTAATTTATTGAAAGTTTACCTAGAAAAAATAGAATTAGAAGTTTTAACTTTGCTCGTAGCCACTAAAGAAGGAAAAGGGAAAGAAGAGAAAATAACTTTCCAGTGGCAGCTCACGAAAGTTGGTCTGCTGCAATTATTGTACCATGCCTTGAATATACATTTTGTTGTTGGAAACTATGAGCATTCCAAAGAACGGGAACGCAATGAACTGTTCAAAGTACCGGGGTATCGAGCTGACTGCTCACACGATGAAACTGTCGGGGCTTTTAGTCGACTCAAGATTGAGGAAACTCGTCCAGATCTAACAGCCAGTTCGGCTTCATGCTGCGATGGTCTACAATGAATGATATTTTCATAGCATTCATTTCTGAGCTATAGCCAGAAAAGCATCGGGAAAAGCATAGCCCCTTCCACCCGGCTTTCCTTGACTTGGAGAGTGCGAGCGAAACATTTCGGAACACCGCCTCTCCCTGGTCAATGACATGAACGGTAGGTCCACTACAGCAGTATGCACGCCGCACTAACTAAAACACTGAATGTCTCCACACGTGGACTCTTCGAATCATCTAGTAAGGGCGGCAGTTCAGTTCAGGGCTCAAGGGAATCAATCACGAGGAACCCCAAAAAAGAGGTTTCTCGACATGGTCGAGAAGGTTCCGCCGATGCTGAAAATACGGCAGAAGATGCTGTAGACAGGAGCTGGACAAGAACAGCGTACCTAGCGGCGGGTCGAGAAGGTTCCGCCGATGCTGAAAATACGGCAGAAGATGCTGTAGACAGGAGCTGGACAAGAACAGCGTACCTAGCGGCGTTGCAGTATTAATGCTGGGGGGAAGGAAAAAATTAGCAACAATCATTTTTCACTTATTCTGCATTTATCGAGCAGTAGCTTATACGCTCTGCTTGAAATACCGTACAGTATGAACTCTATATGATAAAACCTCAAATAATCTGCAAGAGGTAATCCCTCTGATTTTTCCTGGGGTTTTCTTTTCGTTTTTTCTTTCTACACATGAGGCTGAGCCACATCATTTGAGAATATACTTGAATGCCCTCCAATATCTCTCAGAGCTCATAATATGTCAGGACTATACGACATGTGTGCAATCGGAGTGAACTCTCTGCTAACCGGATACTTTTGGTTGATCGGTGCAAACTACTGTCTAATGCCGTTACTGATGTACGTCGCTGGAGCAATCGGACTCGGTCAGTATTCACTAATTGATTTAGGGAGAGAGGTTTATTCTCTTCAGTACGTATTCTTAAACCACTGAGAAAAGTAAGTTGATGTAGACCAGTAAATGAGGGCTCAGTGAGAGCGGCTATTATAGTGCTTTTGAGGCAACACATGAGATAGTGGCAGTGAGAGTCTGATCTTCAGTTGTCCACCTGTAAGGTTTGTGCACGGGTAGTAATGGAGTCTATCCACTAGTTAATCACTGTCACAACTGGATCGCGTACATGGACATACATAGTTTTAGGCTCCTAGAATGTACCCAAATAGAGCACAGTAATCTTCATTTTGTAAAATATTAATCTCAAAAAAACTGAGACGTCAGTTATAATACTTATTGAGTTGCTAAAAGGAAATGACAACCAGAACTCGCTAGTATTAACTACTCTACATAAGCGAAGAGTCCAAGAATTCCATTCCAGGTCTGTGGTGTGGCGCATGTATGATTTGCTTCGTTCTGGTAATCAATCGATTGCTCGATCTTTGGGATAAACAGATGATGGAACTGGTAAATTCAATTATTCATTCAATAACCTCTTTATAAAATAACTCAAACTCGAAGTCTCTGTGATGCGGTAATTTGAAATGAGACGAAAAGGGATTTAGAACCATCAAAAATTGTCTCACAACGTTTGCAAGTTAAGGACAAAGCTGTGTCAGCTCACGCGGTTATCGAACCAGTTCTTATGTTATCCGAGCACCATGCTCTTATCCCTTACGCTACCAACCATTTTTTTATAAAAGCAAAGAGTCCAGGATTTTTATTCCAGGCCTTAGGTGTGACGCATGTATGATTCGCCTCGTTCTAGTAATCAACCGATTATTTACTCTTAGAGACACAGTTCACAATAATTTTTAGGTAACCTAGTGAGATCGAAAAGTGGAGGTATTAGATGAAATGGTCCATAGGTAGCGAACGGCTCGCCACAACAGCAGGCAACAAAAACGAGCTTTTTCTCAGCTACGGGGCACGCTTAAAGTGTGCAGTCGCTTACACGCCAAAATAAACGCGTTACTACGCTGGGAACAATATACTTTGTGCAAAATTTTAATTTTTAATTTTTTTTTTCGTAATTTTTCCAGAAAACAGAATCGAATTTTATTACAATCCTGATGAAAATTCACTTTGTTCCCATTTCAGTTGTTCAAAGATAACCGTACCTACGTTGTCCTGCTGATTCCATTCTGCTACAGTATCTACTTCATCTTTTTCACTGAACCACTCTTTTTCAATTCGGATCATACTGCATGGTTTTTTAGCCCATTCGTAGAGAAGAATAACATCGGCGAGGTTCGGTGATCTTTTCGATTTTACATTCTTCTCATTGTAGTTCTTTAGAAGGTTCTTATATGAGCAGACACTGATATCTTGCGCCCCCTACTTCGCTTTGATTCGGAGGTTTGACTTGGTCTAAACGGTTATGACTACAGCTTGGAATATCTTGTCCCAGATCCCCATCGAAAGATGAATCCGAGAGTAGAAGAGTTCACTTTAAATAGGCCTACCCATCCACTGGAGCTTCGATGACCACTATACTGCATAGAAGATGTGGTGACCATAGAATGTCTTAAGAATGCCCAGCTTCCCCCCACCCCCTCCCCTTTCTTCCTCTCACACACACATTCGAATGCCTCTCAATATTGGAATAGTAGCGTAAAAATGCATGTGTTCCAAAATGACTGGCGGTGACCAGTATATTTGTAAGTCAGCACCTAATTATATCCCATGGTATGGTTGGTTTAGACAGCTACCAACCCGGAATTCTATCGCAGAGCTGTGCGTGTTATAGCGCTCCGATTGCCACTATACCACCTCGGTTCGAACTTATCATCTGGTAGCCCGCAAGGAAACTGAGAAAGTCCGCCACCAGTTTGCTTATGGTGTACTGTACTTCTCCCTGTAGAGCGAACATAACAATTAAACAACTTATAAATTAGAAATAAGTGTGATTAATATGAAAATGGAAGATAAAAATCAGCTTCCCTCACGTCCGAATGAGCTTTCGCGTAATGAAATTTAAATACTTCTCCTCATAACTAGCTTTCAGTTTTTCAATTATCCTCACACAGCCAACAACCTGCTCATAGTTGTACTCACTTGTTTACTGTATGTTCAATATTCAAGAGTACTTCTAAAGCACTCCAGAGGAGACAGAGGACTGTCATGGGCACAGAAATCGGTGAATTTCTAGATACAACTGCAACTTTTCTTTCTAAAAACTTCATTTTCACATCCAGTCTATTTAGTTCTTCTTACAATCGTCATCAATCTGTATGGCAAATTTGATTGCGGCTCTGATCTATGTGTATATGCAATTCTTCCCAACGCCCTCATACTTCGTCCTTATTGGTCACATCTGCTGGCAGCTCGGACACGGTAAAGTCGTCATTTTAGTAGAACCTACTCAGACTCAGTAAAAAAGTAATGTTTATATGTATGTGAAGGGCAGAGTGGCAGAATTCGAATAGTAATAATGTGATTATTTTGAATTCTCCCGTTCTACTTCGATGGGCGATGTGTGTGTGACGCGCTCGCGTCAGGTAATGCAAAAAAGTAGAACCATACCTAACTAGTCCCAAATAAGAATAAGATTCTGTGAAGATGAGTTTCCCAAAATGAGTGTTCGTACCTTGAATTTGAGCAAGTAAGCTTGAGATGGTGTGGTGTCAGTTGGCGCACTGTCACACAAGTTTGGTACCTGGGCCAGCCTTATGTGGTAGTGCTACTTGTCACTAAACTATATCAATTGAAGGTACGAGGACTCAATTGAGGAACTCATCTTCACAGTATGTTATTCAAGACTAGTTATGTGTAGACCTACTTCCGTTACTATACCGTGTGAATCGAATCCTGGATCGATAGTCGCCCAAGTGAACCAATCTTTAATCCTAATTGAAATAGGAAGATCTATTGAAGTGGTGTTGTCATGCATAACGTAGTGCTCCTAAAAAATCCTGTCTTAATTCAGGATTCCCGGCAATCGTCTACCTACTTCTGAATCGAACAATCCAGCGTGAGGCGCTTCTAATGCTGGGACTTCGTAAAAGTCGGAATCTGGTAAGCCCGAGCCCTGCCATCCAGTCTAAAACGGTGGCTACTTCGGATGCTGTTTGAAGAAGATGAACAACCATCAAGGAGGAATGTGGAGTTTTACCGTTTGAGTATCATTGACATTGTGTCTAGAAAGCAGAAATTACTTCAGCAAAGAATTCATTTTCATAAAAATTTCATTGATGAGTTCTTGAATCTTGAGCACTGCATGTAATATGTATATCTGTTGATAATATAGTATATCATTCAAATTTGAAAGAATTTTGTTGATTGTCGTCCTACTTATGAGTATATACTACTACTTGTGCGCATTTACTTTTTGTCTGTTGTACATATATAAAAGTGAAGAGCAATATCATTTGCGTCTCTCCCAGACATCAGTATTCACTCCAGTCGCGTAATAAGTTGGAGCTTTTCGATGTCTCATGCAATAAGAGCGTTCTGTAACTAATTTCTTTGATACCCGATCCTTCGTTTGGAGATTTATTCCGATTTTCAATTCAAAAGTACAGTAGGGGAAAGGGAAGGATCAGGGAGCTCTGAGCGGTGCTGCAGAGCGGTGTAAGATAAGTCCTCCTGGGATGCTACCGTATTCGTGGCTCATTAAAGCGTAGGAGTCATGAGAGAGGAAAAACTGCACGTTACAAAACAAGAACAAGGGTTCCTGGGGCCCCCTATTAAAAGAGGAACAAATTGGGACTTTTTCGAATAATAACTAGAATTCTACTCCGATAGAAGTTTAGACCTTATAACGATTTGAGCAAGATATGGCTAAGCGTGTATTCACAGCATTCCAATGATACCAATGTTTGAGATCAATTGATGAATTTCTATCTACTCGCTGCGAAGCAGTTTCTGAATTCCTCAGCTTCGAAAATTTTCACCTATCTTGTATAATTCGAATGAACTTTGATGCATTCCATTCCAATTCATTTACTCGATGAAAAGAAACTTCTTGTGAGACTCTCAATGTAAGTCACAAATATGGGCACAATAGGTTCGGAAAAACGTCAATATGATCCAGCTGTTACACGGTTCAGGATGAGAAAGATGACTGCGGTTTTATGGATTTATATTGAAACAATAGTTTACAAACGTGTTCCCATATAGTATTTGGTGGGTGGGCGAACGCGAGCTGAATGGGAGAGCGCACCATGCATCAAGCTGGGCCGAGCTACGTGAGTTCACACCTGGCTGCTCCTATAATCAGACTGAGATGTCAGGTTAATCATCGCTAGAGCAGTCAATGATTTCCTGGACAAACAGANGAATCACAAGTGATATTTGATAGCGCGTGGTCGAATTCCGGCTTGCAGCCAGTCGGCCCACTTCCTCAGGGCGGTTCTCGAGTAAGCTGACCAAACTGAAGAAATACACATAAAAATAAAAGTTATTCTGATCTTCTCATGGGAATACAGTCATTGAAAGCTATCATACTCACAAGAAACCGTCCCCAAAACACATTCGATGGTAGCAATAGCTAGGAGGTAAAGCTAAAGCTGAGAAAACCGTGCCAAAGGTGATGACTACCTTTATGCTACGTGCGATACCGCTACGCACGTCGCCATGATTTGAGCCTTGGCTATGGGTTTGAAGAGGTCGGCAGTAGAAAAACGATTTTACTAGTTACACTACATGGTTGACTGGGATGGAAAAGTATCAGCTACATCAGAATACTCTCACCTGACAAGTGCTTCTGCACCAAGTCTAGCATGATTTACATAATTTGGGCTCCATTATTTGTACACCAACTGAAAATTACTAAAAGAATCTGATAGAAATCACAGCGTTGACAATCTAAATGCTACCTAGGTTCGCATATTATCCTTTTACAACATTATCTGAGCCTTTAAGTAAGTTCAAAACTACTCTATTTGCTTAAAATGTATCGTTGTAAAGAAAGAGCAAGCTGCAGGTGATTCGGTCAGTAAATTCACTGATTTCTATTAAATTTGCTGAAGTTCCATCACAAAAGGCACCAAATCAAACTTGATCTAAGGCTTGCCTCGAACACAGTGCGTGGATTTCGAACGTAGTGTATGAATTTCTAAGTTAAATAGAAGATTCACAGTGCTTTCATATTCGCACGTAGCAGCTCAATTACCTGAAAACTGATCTATATTCTTCGTGAAGATAGGGACGAATAGTAGAAGGAAGCCGAAAAATCACATTTGTCTAGGTTACTCATAAGCAGGGACAGCGATATCCGTGAGTCCTCCTTTCAACTGATTTGGAACATTCTGGTATTTCAGTGATGGATCAATCCGTCATTTTACTCTTTGCTAGAATTGGGAGTCTAGACTGACTACGAATCAGTCGCTACTTCACCAAGAAGTATGAATATGGAAGTACTATGTTTAAGCATTCATACTTCACCAAGAAGTATGAATGCTTAGACATAATACTTTTGTTTCGCTAGCAATGGTGATTTCTTTTGCTCAGGAAAGCCTGTAGTTCAGTAGTAAAAGAGCCAAAAAAGCACATTAATTCACTAAATTGAGAGCCTCGTGTTAGGTGAACACTCACCTATTTTAACACTCCTGACCTANCGCTTTGACAGTACGGGTCATTTTTTTTTATCAAACAAGGTCATCCATGATAATGCACCAATCCTTGTCATGCTCGAATCTCTCGGGAGAAAGTTCTCACTTTTGGGACTCAGCCCTTTCAGTTTTCGAAAAAATCACTTTTTTGCCTTTCAGTGCTGTGATCTTCAATTGGTACTTTGACAAGAAAAAGATCTTAGAAAAGTTCTGGATAAGTGATGAAGGACCCTGCAAAGAGGATTTCGACGACTATGTGTTCTCTTGGAGGATTATTTGAGTGAAATGATGTCATACGGTTTAAAGCTTCTCACGAAGCTATCCGATTCGAGCGTCTGATCTATGGTTGGCCAGGAGGCAGAAGAACTTCAGAAATACTTGTTTACGCTTTCAATTCTGTCAACTTTTTTTGATTATCTAAAAGTGCTGAGAATTTCTTTTTCCTTCATCGTTGCATTCCCACGAAGATTCTGCTCAAAAATCAAAGATGAGGTTTTCTCAGGTGTCTGGGTAAACATAACATCTTGTCCCGCATTAAATATTTCTCAGGTGTCTGGATAATTATAACATTTTGTCCCGCATGAAATAATCTCTGGGGGAAAACAGAAAAAGGAAGGTCTGTTCAGAATCCTGATTATTTATCCTCCATGCGAAGCAAGTTATGAAACCATGACAAACATGAGATAACAGTATTCTGTAGGGAAAACAAGCTTTGGATTCTGCTGATGTGACAGCCAATTAGCAGTCAATTCATGCATGCATACGTCTATGATATGAACTGTTGTCAACTGAAATGTTTATCTTTATTCTATTTGTTTTTGAGAATGCCACAATGTCGAGTTGCACCAACAGATGACGTGACTTCCAAACGCTTTTCTTTCACACCGCCCGACAATGGTTGATAAATTTATGTTCTTGACTTCCATGGAATTCATTCCGATTAATTGTTATTTGCTTCATTTTGGACTGGGCTTACCTCATTGCCCTTTTAATGCGTTACAAGGAGGAACGGGAGAAAATCGTTGGTGGAACAATCTGCTATGAGCTTTCGCTTCAGCCCTGATGCGACGAACCCTAGGTCTAATCTTGGAATAGGTTCGAGTGTTATCATGGCATTACTTTGCTTTTCAATTTCAAGCCAGACATAAAGTTCAGTGGGAACAGATCAACCTCATTTGAGTTGTGTGGGAAAAGCTGTGGGTATATGCCTGCCATACTATTGTGGCCTTAAATTACATCGAAGAAAGGTGTCAAACGAATCCCAGGAGTAGTACCGCCCACCCTCAATTTATAGAAGGAGAAATTCTAATTTGTTTCACACTAGGTGATATGCCAACATCATAACACCACACTCCTTCTGGTGACTCTTGAAAACAACTCCACTCCACAGCATCTTGTAGGCTCATCAGAGTGAGGCTGTTCTACTTTCCGAACCATAACGTTGTGGTTTAAACGAAATATTATCGCATTCCTCATCTCATGATGTGGTACTATTCTCCAATCAAAAGTCTAATATTCTAGGCTAGTAATTCCTGGAACTCGTTCGACCCTTTTCTTCGACGTACCCTAAGGTCTATTTCTTTCCGTAGTTCAGAACTTCGAATCTCCTCTGTCTTCACCATCCCCTCGGTAGCTCGAATGCTCCCCACACAGCGCGTTTCCTTTTGCTCAGCCTCGGAACAAACTCGTTATCCTAATGACTTGCCGACTGAAATACTCTTAGATAGAGCATCCAGGGATAGTCGCTCCATTTAGCTTGAAGGGAGCATCAGATACCGATCCACTCTGTAAGAACATCGTCTCATTTAGGTTTAGTCGTAAGCCAATCTCCCCACAAGCGTTATCGAACTCGACCAGCGTTTGTTCCGTGTGCTCAATGGTCATTGCTCTAAGCACGATGTGTCAGTGTATATTCCACCTATTTTCGAAAACTGGCTTCGTACCCCAAAATTTGAGCACCACCTGAGATACCACAAAGCACTATTTATGGCATCTAACACTGCCATTGCTCAACAATTTCGTGTTTCTGGTGTTACTCGTTGGATTTTTTATCTGAAATCTTATGAAAAGTCTGCGATAGTGTGATAAACCAACGCTTTGCTGATCGCTGGTCTATGATTAGGATTCAGCAGAACGCAAGCAAAGAGAAAACTGAAAAACCATGTGCCCCTCGCTCTGGGATGTCCAAAACGAAAGGTCTTGGGCGAATCGTAAAGTAGCAACTGTATCAGCCAATAAGTCGATATCGATCATCTACTTGTTTTTGAAGTGTCTGTATTTGGACAATAAATATTTGCTTCAGTAAGAAGCGTAGTGGTTTATACTGCAATTTGAAAGTTTCAAGTCGAAGTGTAGAAATGTTTTGACCTGAAGCCTCTGCAGAAAAAATACATTATTTTGCTGGCCTTCGGCTACCTTCAACAGAGGAAATGTGAAAGCAAGAGCTTCCTATTCCAAATTTCAAAGTGATTCGATATATTGAGCATTGAAATCCGGAGCTTCGGGAGATCTACACAGGTG